ACTAACTAACTAACTAACTAACTAACTAACTAACTAACTAACTAACTAACTAACTAACTAACTAACTAACTAACTAACTAACTAACTAACTAACTAACTAACCAATTGACTAACTAAGTAACTAACTAAGTAGCTAACTAACTAATTAACAAACTAACTAAGTAAGTATCTAACGAACTAACTAACCAATTAGCTACCGAACTAATTAACTAACCAACTAACTAGCTAACCAAATTACCAACTAGCTAGCTAACCATTATCCAACTAACTAACAAACTAACTAACCAGCCAACTTAATAACTAACTAACTAACCAACCAATCAGTTAACTAACTAAATAATCAATTAATTACCTAACTAACTAAGTTACTATCTAAGTAATTAACTAACTAACTAACCAACTAAGCAACCAGTCAACTAACTAACTAACTAACTAACTAACTAACTAACTAACTAACTAACTAACTAACTAACTAACTAACTAACTAACTAACTAACTAACTAACTAACTAACTAACTAACTAACTAACTAACTAACTAACTAACTAACTAACTAACTAACTAACTAACTAACTAACTAACTAACTAACTAACTAACTAACTATGTAACTAACTAACTAACTAACTAACTAACTAACTAACTAACTAACTAACTAACTAACTAACTAACTAACTAACTAACTAACTAACTAACTAACTAACTAACTAACTAACTAACTAACTAACTAACTAACTAACTAACTAACTAACTAACTAACTAACTAACTAACTAACTAACTAACTAACTAACTAACTAACTAACTTACTTACTAAATAACTAACTAACTAACTAACTAACTAATTAACTAACTAATTACCTAACTAACTAGCTGACTATCTAACCAACTAATTAGCTAACTAACTAAGTTACTAGCTAACTAACTAACTAACTAGCTGACTAACTAACCAACTAATTAGCTAACTAAGTAAGTTACTAGCTATCTAACTAACTAACTAGCTAACTAACTAATCAACTAATTAGCTAACTAACTAAGTTACTAATTAACTAACTAACTAACTAACTAAGTAACTAGCTAACTAACTAATTAACTAGCTAACTAACTCACTATCTAACTCAATACGCCTAAAGACGTGGACAAGGGTCCTGTCTTTTACTTTACCTACTTATTGCTAATGCCGCCTACACGAACTATTTTTAAACCCTGAAGCCATGAGTTGTTAACCCTTAGGCTCGGTGTTATGGATATCGCAACCCCTCGGCCTTGATTCCATGATAAATAACGTAAATCTGTGAGAAATGTGGCTTTTCTGCCTACCCCTGGACCACAAGGAGTTCGTCACCGGGTCACCGCGTAATCTGGTTTAGCCAACTAAGCTAGCTAGCCGGGCTACACAAACTTTAAAGGTTAGAAAAATTACTTTGTTCCCCCGACAGAAGAAGTGGAGTCCAAGCACCTTACTGAGGATTCAAACCACTCGGTCAATCGTTGTTCTAGTATAAACTTAGCAGTCCAACATAGATCCAGCCAACTTTAAGACAAGTTGTAAAATTATCTGCAACGTTTCTCGCTAACAAGACTTCATAGATAGCTGTAAAAAAATCTAATCTGTATTCTTGTATAAATGCAAGTTTAAAATCTCTTCAGTTTACAATAACACATACATATACCCCCCCCCCCCCCCCCCCCCCCCCCCCCCCCCGCCCCACACACACACAAACTATTTCAAAATCAATGTAAAGTGGCCAAATAATTTGCAGCTGAATCAATCCCAGAATGTTGGAATTGTTAAACTGCTTTTTATAATGCATGAATCATTGACGCCGAAAGGGAAAACTTAACATTAGGGACAACATTTGTGACTAGGAAATCTGTGGATGTCCAGTTGAATCAATCAATCAATCAGGTGCCGTCTCCACAATGAAGGTTGGCTGCAATGGATCTCCAACAAGCCCTGTTTCTTGCCCGTGATGTACTTTCACTCATACTGCTGTTCGCCCATCTCTTGATGTTATCCTCCCACTTGTAACGCTGTCTGCCTTTTGCTCGCCTACCTTGAACCATTCCCTCTAGGATGATCTTTACAATACTGTTATGTCTTTCAATGTGGCCAAAATATTTCACTTGTCTCTTTATTATTTCAACTAGCAACTCTCTTTTTATTCCCAATTTCCTCAGTACCTCTGTATTTGATAGCTTTTCTTTCCATGAAATACGAAGAATTTAAGGCGCACTCGTCATTATGCTCTACCCTAGTCAACATAGGATTTGTCTCTTCCCTGTTTGTATTTACAACAGGCATTACTCCAGAGGGCCAAGATGTGCCTGCATCGCGTTTTCTAACTTGTTGTGCTTCCATTACTGTCTTTGGGTGCTACGTGGTAAGGTCCCAATCTTTTCCACGATGGCCAGCCATGTTTTCCTTCGTGTCCCAACACGCCTCATGTGTGCCACACACTTTGCTGTTTCTCTTTGCAAGCCCTTGATCTATATAATTAGATTTTTCCGCCTTGCTTACCGTCCCAGTCTTTGTGTACTAGGGATGGACATCTCCCTTAGTAGGATATTACTCCCACTTCACTCATGTAGTTTAGCCAGTCAGCCAAGACTGTTGCTTGTGGTGTGGCCACCGCCGTACACAGTTGAATACAATGTACTAAACTGAAAATATTTAGCTCTGAAATACTGTTGTATGGGGCTGAAACACGGACGTCTATCACAATTACTAACAGACAGACTGACTGACTTGTTATCCCACCAGGACATCATCATACAAGCGATGAACACCCGGTGACACAGAGTGCCAACATGCATATGAGGATCACCCATAGAGAGGTCAAAGAAACCCCTTTCAGCCGTTATGCCACATCTATGGCTAGGCCCCTGGCAAAAGCCAAGGTGGGGCTTCAAATAACGAAAACTTGCATCACACATGATGATGACGAATTATATATTACTAACAGACTACAAACTTTCATTAAACTGGTGTTTGCATAGAGCTTTCACTAGCACTCAGTGTCTTCGCATACGGATAATCACAACGGCTCGTTGGTCTAGGGGTATGATTCTCGCTTAGGGTGCGAGAGGTCCTGGGTTCAAATCCCGGACGAGCCCAATATTTTGGTCTCGTGGCATGACGTCTGCCTCGAGTGCTGGAGGTCCAGGGTTCAAGGTAAAGGCTGGTTTTATGTTTTTTTTTCACTAGGACTTCTATTTGTTTCCACCGGTCTGTGGGTTAACAATCCCATGGCAGTTGGCGATCGAAAAAAGTAACCCAACGACGCTGCCCAGGCAACATTTGGAGTTGAAAATCTACCCGAAATATTTCAGGATCCTCGCCGCTGCTACGGGGTTCGTGCACTGCACTGTGATTGTGTGACTCAGGCTTGCGTCAGAAGCAGAACAGGGCACTGGTGGGTTACTAACCTTGTGCCACGATTTCCGTTGTCTTAACCTAAACGGCTGATCAACAGCAACTGGTGACCTAACGACACACGGTGTACTGGGAGTATGATGATGATGATGATTCGACGGGGGAAAAGGGAATTAAATTATATGATTTTTGAGGTTTTTGAACAATGAATCAACATAATGGCACACAGGTAAGTGCTCCGTTCTTCTTTTAACTCAAGTGTGAGTCTGAAGAAGCTCGGCACAGTGCACAGGCTCTCTAGCACTGGCGAGGATCCTGAAATACTTTGGGTAGATTTTTAACTAAAAATGTTGCCTGGGCAGCACCGTTAGGCTACTCTTTTCGATTTCCAACTGCCAAGTTTTTTTTTAACGTTCGCAATAATGCACACGGGCGTCAGATCTCACTACCCAGAGACCAGTGGAAATTACTAAAAGTCCAAGTCCACGTGAACTGACATACTTTGAGAAACCGGTTGCCGGGGCAAAAAAAAAAAAAAAAAAATACCACTCAACTTGTACTAGATACGTTGAACACGGAGACACTGAGATTGGCCCTGTATCGGAAGACGGAGCACGAATGGTCGGACTGATGTTCCAGGATATCGATAAAAACAAAAGTAATATTTGAGAATGCCTGAAAATAGTGAAAACCTAATGCCTTTGTACTTAAACATACAGGCTTAAATTAATAAAAGATACGGGGAAGAGAACTTGAAAGTGAAGTTAAAAAGAAGGGGAGGGCATATGGTGAGCGGAATGTAATGGCAAAAAGTTAGGACTTATCTGTGCTGACAGAGGGCATATTGGGGTGAATGAAAGTCTAATTTGTTTATGGTATCAAACTGAGTGAAAACCTCTTTCTTCTTTGCGTTCGATTTCGTATCTTCTTCTTCTTCACTTCCTCTTTTACCGCTGTGGGTGTCGAGGGAGATATAAGGTTCTGTTTCTAGCTCTTCTGGCTGCCTCGACCATAGGCACATCGTGCTGTTGTAGAGTTTCTCTGATGTTATCCTTCCATCTTGTTCTTGGTCTACCCCGTGCTCTACGTCCTTCTTCTCTTCCCATGTATGCTTTGTATGGTATGGTGTCGATTTCGTATGCTCAAGTCAAATCGTCAGTTGGGCTGCCTCAATGAATTTGCATGTCAGCTGCACGTCCTTCTTGATTCCCATAGCAGCAGCAGCAGCAGCAGTAGTAGTAGTAGTAGTAGTAGTAGTAGTAGTAGTAGTAGTAGTAGTAGTAGTAGTAGTAGTAGTAGTAGTAGTAGATTTTTACCCCACTAGGACATCACACAAGCGATAAACACCCGAAGACACAAAGTGCCACCATGTGGATGAGGATCACCGTGGAGAGGTCCCAGAAACCGCGTTCAGCCATTAGACCCTATTTATGTTCGGGCTATATTGCAGCCCCTGTCAAGAGCCATGGTAGGGCTTCAAAGAACGAAAAATTGTCTCTCACAAGGAGATGAATGGATTCACTGATTTCCCATATCTTGTTCTGCACGCTATATCTTGAGGCCAAGTTCAGCGTCAAAGTGAATCTCCTTTAGAAGAGGGTAGATTCAGTATCCACTACAACAACAAACATGGCCGGCAAGACACGTATTGAGATCAACTTTAACAGGTTACTGAGCCAGTGTCAGTGTATGGCCGAAGACAAAGAGAACAGAGATTGGCGGTTTGATAAGGTATATACGTAATGAGAAAAATAAAACTGTTAATCAATTTTAATTTATGGTCTCTGTCTGTCATTAAATGCATGACCTAGTGGCAAAGACAGCAGCTGTGAGAAGTACCGACAGCCGATACAAACTAGTTACTTTAGTCAAATTTTTTAAAATTCCCCCAACACCAATAAAACCAGAACAGTTAGATAGCTGTAAACAATCTCTTTTCAATGGTACCTCATTTAGCCTATTTATGTCATTTCTGAGCTGAGATATGTAGTTTTTGGGGAGATGAGATGTAAAAAACAGCTGCTAAAACTTGTGTCTGAGAAACAAGAAGTTTTCTCTGCGCAGCCAAACTGCGCAACTTTCGTTTTGTTTACATTGGACTGTCATTGGACAAGATGGCAGCCAATGAGACACAGCCACTGACTGAGCCAGCGATTGCCTGAAAAATGTCACTGTACATCTACCTAGCCACGGTTCAGAAAGAAATTTTATACAAAAATGTAAAAATGGAGAATTCAATTATGACTAGCATTACCAGGGCCAGTAACAGTTAAAGCCTAAAGCCAACCTTGAATACTTAGCGCTATTTTCAATCAAACTGATGTAACAGAAAAACAGAGGACGTCCGTCTGTCGTAGACATGCGCTGTTAATCGGGTTCCTTCCCGCTGTTTTCAGCTATTTAGAGTGGGTGAAAATCACACGAATCGCAAAATTTCATGAGAGATTAGGACCCATCCCGAAACCCCAGCCAACATTTCCGAAGCAAGTTTCGAACGGTTTCCGTGGTAACGGAAATTGCCAAAAGATCGCAAATTTCCGGACACCGTAGTCGCTAGTTGAAACAGTCCATCATAAATTCATTGTGATGATCACCGATGGAAGCATCAGTTACTACAAATCAGTAGGTACCACCAGTTCTCTGGTAACAGGCCACCTGCCATTTTCTAAATCTGCGGTTCACAAACAAACCACACTTGGCACTGCTTAATTTAAATCATCTTTAATGAAATCTACAGCTGAGAGTGTTGCATCAACATGCCCTCAGCTCAGTAGCTGAGTAGCTTAGTGACGGAACTGTAAGCCCTCCTATCCACCACACTGACTGGAAGTGGTTATTTCAGTTATTTCATTTAAAAAGATTAATTATTTCTACTAATGAGTTATAAGGTGAAAAAAAATATGACTTGAAATACTTTCAGGCCCATGAATTCTACAGACTTGGCTCACATTAACTCTTTGAGTCCCACAGGGTTTAGCATCAGAGGCCCAAGGGGTAGCCATGAGAGATACAAAATCGGTGCATCTTTAGTTCATTGGGGCTCTAAGTAGATACCTAAAAACGTATGAACCGTTCCTTGGGACTCAGAGAGTTAATTTGCCTTTACAAAAATGGCAGAGGGGGTGGTTTAAAAACAAAAGGGCAATTGAGAATGTAAATTATTTCTAATCCCTACAAAAGTAAATATATTTTTAAAGAGGAATGAATGTAAATTTTGAATCTGATGATATGTTTTTGCTTAATGCTGTTATAGTTAGTGAGAAAAAAGAATTCATCAGGTGTTATGTTTACAAAGAAAAAAATGTACACACAAAATCTTCACTTACAAGGGTTTTGTATCCACAAGAACAGAGAATATCCATATTTGAGAATAATATTTTAAAGTTTCATCAGTTTCCCAAAAATCCAAAAGTTATGATACATTTCTGGTTAGTTTCACTGAACAAAATATCAAAGAAATAAATGGCTGAAAATCAGACCTATAGTCCTGTGCACAAAAATATTAACTTTATAGTTATATACAGACTGTAGATGCAATGATTTCAATGCAGCTTATCCATAGTATAGTATGGTGCTGTCTGAAACGGTCATTTTGATGCAAGTGTGGGTGACTATCACATCCTTTGCAATGAAATAAGTCCTCCTTGATTTACCTCATCAGAACCAACAGCTAACCGCTCAGCTGCCATTGAATAAATTTACTGTCCAAATCACTTTCATTAGAAAACATCTGACTGAACAAATTTCAGAGCTTCAACCACAGAAAGGCGCATTTTTTGGCCAGTGCTTATGTTTGGAAACATTGGTAACCATGATCCTTGAACATAAAATCAGAAAATACACTGTCTGAAAATCAGGCTAGCAGTGAATCGGATCAGTTGCATCTAAATGTGTATGAACAAAGACTTGTTTATAAAGAACAAAAATTGAAGTAACCTTCGCTGAATACTCTAATGGTAGTTTCAAACATTATAAACGAATTTGGAGCCATATGTGAATCAGTATGTACGGGACACACGATCGATACAGATAGTGTTGTCTGGGCAAATCGGAACTTCTCAGTCAACACACACAGCGTTGCTCGGGCCTCAAAGAGTTAATATAGTTTACCTCATATCTTTACCCTTACAGGGCAGATTTCATGACAACAAAAATCCATAGTCCACGAAAATGATGCTAAATGAAGTTCAATAAAAATTCAAGAAGCATTATCTCATTACAATGTAATTCCTGAAGTCTGTTCAAGACAGTGATATCTGTGGTTTATAGAAATGATAAATGTAGTTCATGACAGTGATTCCTGTAATTCATGACAACAATGATACTTATCCTTCATGTTGATAGATACCTGTTATTCATTAGAAAGATAGTTGTTATCTTACTGTAAAAAGCAAAACAAAAAAATTATGGCAATTAATTGGTACTGTTAATACATGGAATATTTTCATGTATAGCTTAGGTTATTTTATTATATTATATGTAGCAAAGTTTTTGTAATTTTACAGTACCTTGGAGCTCTACAGAATTATCTAGGAAATTTGAAGACATCACAGAGGTAAGCTTTACTTGAACTGAATTATTAGGCTCTTTTTCTTCTTCACTTTCACTGGCTGTAACCTGGGGCAAAAGAGTTCTGATTTTTCTTCCACCTCTGGGCGTGCTCTTTTTGCAGAACATGAGGTTTTGTATGGACACCAGTTTACATCTCTGACTTACTCCAGCTTGAAAGAAAACATCAGTCCTATCCAAACTGGCCAGGCCTCTGGCTGGGAACATGTTTCTAGGATGACCACGGAGAAGTGTAGGTGGGTCTTGACCCATTTTCATCTTGATGCACCAGTACATGTGGTTCAGCCCTAATGCATCCCATTATTGGACCCAGTTAGAAGGCTTCTTCAGAAATGGGAATAAATTGGGGATTAGAAGCAGCTTCGGAAAAATAACCCTTGAGTGAGTAAAGTGTACAGTAAATAATTGCTGAAAAACCCAGAATCCTTACTCACCAATGACATCAATGTAAGCACATTCAGGCGTTTTGGGCATATAGTGCTAGACCAGTATTTTTTTCCAGACCAAACGGCACTTGGTCGGTGATGGGGTCAACATCAGGCTGGCCTGTTGACAGCAAGGTACACTAGGGTAATAGTTGGTGTAGCAAATATGGGTTCCCTATTTAGAACCTCCTATGATTTTGAAGGGGTATCTAGGATTTGATCTGTTTGGTTTGCCATCCAAAATACACATCTTTGAGTTACAGAGGTAGTCACACTTTCCGCTGTCACACAGTTGTATGAATTTCTGTTCCGATCAGAATCAGTATTTTAATTGTTTGTATCATTCAAGGTCCATTGAAATTTGAATGTTGAATTAAGAATCAACATCACAGCACTCGGGACACCCCCATAAGTGCTCAGTCACCATCTTCAATAGTAAGTGAAGAGTTCCAATTCCAATGATACCAGTAACCATCTGATTGTATATCTGTCTCATTCTTCCCCTGATTGTTGAGCGTTGGCCAAATCCCTCTGTTAACTCCTCGCAGAGCCATTCTCCTTAGACCATAATGATCTATCTGCGCCTCCTCACTGTTCACTTGCTCCCAAAGGGCTCTGACAATGTCTAACTTGTCATGCATCAGTCCACCACCAAGTAATGCAGAGCCAGCCAGTCTATCTGCCTGCTCATTCCCAACACACCGGCATAACCTGGATAAAATATCTGAAGGGTACTAATTACCCGGGACCTCTGAAGTGATTCTTGCCACTCTGCACGAAGCTTGCCTGTTTTCACCTTTTTCAACGTGCTCTGTGAGTCAGTTATAATACGGCATGTGTGTACAGCTGATTCTCAAGCCAGGAGAAGGCAGCAAAGACTGCCTCCACTTCCATTCCTAAACTAGAGGTTGTGATATCATATGCAAGGCTTTGCTGCACTAGGTGATGTCCATTCACCTTTGCTATGAAAGCCCTTGCACTTCCTCTGCCCCTCAACACAGAGCCATCACTTGGGCGGTAGTTGTCATGAATCGTTTGTTGAACTTCTGATTCTGCAGCACCAGCTGCAGGGTCCATTGAAACAATGCCGGTTGTTTACAATGGATCTTCAACATTTAGTGTGTTTCATCTTGGCTGCATACTCTGTCAGGCTGCTGTTCACGCATCTGTCAATGTTATCTTCCTGCTTATATAACTATATCTGGCCTGCCTGCTTTCCGTGTTTCTCTCAGATACAGTTTATTTAAAAAGGGTTGCATGTTTTAATATGAACACAATATTTTTTGTCTCTAGCTCCTTTAGTTCCATCTGATTTCTATTCATTTTAAATATTCCCAGGACCTATGGATTTTGTAATTGTGTTTCTTTCATAAAATAATGCCTGTTCTGTATATCTACCACTCAGAGGCCTTGATTCAACCGTCTAATTGCTTCTCTTCTTTTCAGCTTTCATACAATATTTTTGGGTGGGATATACATAACGTTTGACAAATATATTTTTGTTTTTGTGTGTGAAAGTAATTTTCTGTAGATGCCTTGTAACTGATACGTAATGACTCTACATGTTATATAAATGGTAAGTAATTTCTCTACATGTTATGTTACTGATATGGAATTTTGTACTTGACAATCATCATACATTAATTTTTGAGAACTCAAATTACCTTCTCTCTTCCCCTGTCCCACCCACACCCAACTCCAATCATGCAGCAAGCCTTCACAGGAAACACTTTTGGAGTATCAGAAAAAAGTGGATCTCCTGAAAGGATTGTCTGAAGCTGAAAAAAAAGTGAGTTGTATGCTAATTAACTCTTTTAGCCCTAAACAGGTGTTGCTGTAACACTTATTTTAATAATGATGCCTCTGTGGTTGCCAGATTTATTTAATATGCACTGACCACAGCTTAAATATAAGAAGACATTTGATGTGATATTTGAGCTTTTGGTGAATAGTCATTAATAAGTCATGCATTGTTTGGGAGTCAACTATGCTTGATTCTGAAGAATTCAGTAGCAGCACTTACATGAGAAATTTGGGATTTTCAGGTTAACTGGGAAGAATATGAGCTAGCTGAACTTGCAGATGTCCTTGAAGAAGCATCTACCAAGTAGGACATGAGAATAGATGCAGACAGGATCAAAGTATTGATAAATCAGCCAGCTGGTATAAAAATGCCAGTATACATTAAAGGTCACAACTTTAAAAAGTTTAATCATTTCACATATCTTGGATCCATCTGTGACCTAGGGTCCAAACCACTAATCATGTCAAGCTATTGGTACATTTATATGTGGCTGTGAAATGTGGAACTTAATATCCAGAATCGAAAGGAAAATATGTCCTTTGGAAATGAGATCATTTTTGAAGGATCCTTTGTATACCATTTAGAGACCATATAAACAAATTTCACCAAATCATCACCCAGCAGAATGTAACAATGAACCTCTAATTAACAACAGCGAAAAGAAATTATACAGGGAAAGAGGAGGTTTGAACAACGGATCAATATCATGGCACACGGGTAGTAACCCATAAGTGCTCTATTCTTCTTCTAACTAAAGTCTGAGTCTAAAGAAGCTCAGCACAGTGCACAGGCTCTGTAGCACCAGCGACTTTGGGTAGATTTTAAACTCCAAATTGTGTCCGGGCAACACTGTTAGGCTAATCTTTTCGATTTCCAACTGCCAAGGGATTTTTTACGTGCCAAACAATGCACACGGGCGTCAGATCTCACTACTCAGAGACCAGGGAGAATTACTTGAAGTCAAAGACCACATGAAAAAATCCCAGCCTTTACCAGGGATTGAACCTGGAACCTCTAGCACTAGAGGCGGACACCATGCCTCTAAACCACACAGCCCCCTGGGAAGAGGAGAAGAGTCAGACCAAAAAAGACCTGAATGCAGAACCTAGATAACTGGACAATCCTCATACATGCAAACATGAAGTCCATTAATTTAGAGTGAGTTGATGGGAGTTGATCACACAGTTAACATGGCTGATGACCCAGCAATGCACAGTATTATGGGAGGGGCTAAGATGATGATGGCTTAACTCTTTCAGGACCACATTTTTTCTGGGGTTTGGACAGCATTAATTTTGAGAAAATGTTTTTTTTTTTAACTGCAACACAACAAAGCTAAAACCTTCCTGAAGAAAAAGTATTGGCTGTATCAGGACATATAATGTATACAATTAAAGATAAATGAGTGCAGAATAAGATAGCACTGCTTTTCTGATGTGGGAGCTTCAACTGCATGTTTTGTTACAAATGTATTAGTGTTGCCTTTTCTTTAAAGAACACAAGGCATGCTGAGAGAATGATCATGTTGCATGGGCCTGGACTTTCATCACTAAACTCATTTGGTCTTTTCAAAGCAAGCTGGTCTTGCTAGTCACATCCACCGTCACCATGGGCATAATTCTCATGCTTCCATATAGCACAGCATAACAGTATCATCTGAAAAGTGCCAAACAAATGGTCAGTAATGCCAGTCTTGGCACGTAATGCTTTTGCACAGCATGGGCAGGGAATTTCAGCTGTAAGTTTGGGGAATTCAGTTCAAGATCTTCTCTGGCTTGTCTTTGTAGACTTGCTGTTGCTGCTGCAATTCTAGACAGCTAATATACCACTGTTCTCCAATGATTAGATGAGTGCTAAACTATTTCAGTCCCAGAATGATTGGCATTAGAGGCTCAAGGGATATTCAAGATTGATGTAAAATAGACCACCTTGCGTTAATTCAGCTTCTAGGTAGGAGCCTGTGAATGCATGATGTGTTCCTTAGGACTAAAAGAGAGTAAACAGTTACTTGCTGCACGCAGGATTAATACTTTGCGCATTTAGTGAGCTCATGAGATTGTCTTTGCAATGTTTCTTTTGTCTGCCTCGGGTGCATTTTTCTGTTTGTGTGTGTGTAGCTCATCATAGAAGGCTTTTTTGTGGCAGTTAGTGATCTAAAGTTGAAGTACACTAATTTCCTTAAGTAGGCTTTGTTCTTAATTGAATGTAGCTTGCTCAAATTGTGTAGTGTGTCCTTTGATCTTGACTTCTTTACTTTGCACTTGTATAATTTTTGCTAATTATTTCAGTGGCATTTGACTAAAGTTTAGAAGCCTAGGTACAAATAGATTGTGAACAAAATCAGTTACCTTAATTTGATTTGATTTGATTCAAGAACCGACATCAACCCCCCCTCCCCCCAACCCCCCGGGCATTCCCATAAGCGCTCCGTCTCCATCTTCAGCAGCCAGGGAAGAGTTCCGATACTAATGGTGCCAGTAGCTTTCTGATTAAATGTCTGTCTTGCCTTTCCTCTGAGCCTTGAGCTTCTGCCAGAACCTCTCGTCACCCCCAACTGCATCAATCTCACCAAACTGTGGTGATCCATCTGCTCCTCCCCATTGTACACGCTCTCCCACAAGGCACTAACCACTTCTGCCCTATTATGTAGCAGTATTCCACCAAGTTGTGCAGAGCCAGCCAGACTGTCCGCCTGTTCATTTCCCAACACACCGGCGTGACCCGGTGAAAAAATCAAGACAATACTCCTCACTCGTGTCCTCCGCAGCGAAGCATGCCACTCTGCACGAAGCATACCTGTTCTGATCTTCCTCAGCATGCTTTCTGAATCAGTTACAATTACAATGTGTGTGTGTGTCATGTTCTCTAGCCAGCGGAAAGCTGCAGTGACCGCCTCCACCTCCATTCTTAAGTTGGATGTTGTGGTATCATATGCTAGGCTCCCCTGCACCAAACGTCGACCATTAACTTTTGCTAAAAAGCCCCAAGCACTTCTTTTGCCTCTTGACACTGAACCGTCTGTGTAAATGATCAAATCCTCTGAGCGAGCATTATCTTGAATTAATTGCTGAATTTCCACCTCTGTGGCACCTGCTGGCCAGTCTCTGCATTCCCGGCTCAGCGTGATTATGACTCTACACAAGTCTGACTGCTCAGGTGGCACTTTGACCCACTCCTCTCCTCGCCTAATGTTCTCAAGGATGCAAACCTGTCTGATTGTGTCTTCTGCCTGAGCCATCCATGACCTCCCTCTTATCAGCCGCTGACCCTTAACTGCACTCAGAGCTTCATGCAGAGGGTGGTCTGTGTCTGCAGCTACCCTGAGATATGACTTTGCCTGCATCACCTTGTGCCTACCTGCAACCGTCGGCAAACCAAGGATGTATCGCATACACACCACTGGGGTGTCTCTGGTGCAACCCAGAATGACCCGCATAGCCGCGTTCTGTATGCGCTCTAGTTTGTCCATCTGACTCTTTGAGACGGTAAGCAGTCCCAGGCCATAATCCACCACTGACAGGATCAGGTGCTGATATAGTGTGAAAAGCATTCTCTGCTCTATGTCAATTGCAGCCATAGTCTTAAGTGCAATAAGTCCTTTTTGGCATCTCGTCACAACACTCTCCACATGGTCCTTAAATGACAGGCTCCTGTCAAATGTAATTCCCAGATACTTCAGTTTGCTCTCTCTGTTGACGTCTCTACCATCTATCGTGAGACTTGGGACATTAGTTTTAACGATTCTGTTGTCCAGAGAACACCACAAAACAGACGCCTTTTCCGGGTGAACGACAGCCTTTATTTCTGTACACCACTCAGTCACTTTGTCTACTGTCGCTTGTAGCTCCAGGGCTGTTTGCTCCCTCTCTTCCCCCTGCCTATATGCAAGTATATCATCCGCAAAAGTCAGTATCATTCCAACTCCTGGTGCTTCTAGGCTTGCAATCTTGCTCGTATACACGTTGAAGAGCACAGGCCAGATGGCGGATCCCTGTGGCATCTGAAAAGTTACCTTATAATAATAATAATAATAAAAAGTTAGTCGTATATTCTTTACATTACATTGTAGAACCAACCACAACAACGGTTGCCCTGAACGGGCAGCCCTCGATACCATTGTCAAAATCAGTGCTCATTTATGATTTATGCTCATTTAGGAACAAATTTTTATTGTTGCGTGGATGGGTCTCATGTTATGATTCATTAATTACTATTTGCAGCCCTGTGTTGTTGAGAGAGCACTGATAACAGAAAGACTAAGGCCTGTGAGCACGAATTTGAGCAGTGCCCCAGCAAAGCAGTTACAGGCTAAAGCAAAAGCTAAATGTGAAGAAGATGTCAGGACAGAGCTGTTTGGGTCGCCTAAGAACTCAGTTTCTAATGAAGGTAAAATTACAGATAAAATCTTGCATCTTCTTTGGTGTTGGTAGAAATATCTTTCCAGTCTTCTGTTTTGTGTATTTGTAGTCATTTCTGACACAGATGATCCTTTATGCCATTGCATGTCAAACTACCCAGCATCTTCTCCATTGGTCTCCTTCTGCCTTACTTCTACTCTAACTTTCCCGTTGTCAAGGTGTACTCCAGTTTTCCCATCACATGATGTGAACAAAGAATTAGTTTGTCTCCTCATGTGGGTAATCAGTTCTTCTCATGAGTTCAAATCTTTCAAGATATGACATTATACTTATGATCTGTACATCTATATATATATAAAAATCAATGTTTGTGTGTTTGTTTGCCCCCTATAGACTCGGAAACTACTGAACCGATTTAGCTGAAATTTTCAGGATATGTTTGTTTTGATACCGGATGTTGAACCATCATGGTTTTAAATTCAACCTGTCACTGTTAGAGATAGGTGACCACAATTTAAGCCATAATATTCGAAACTAATATTTATAATTTTAGTGATTTCTAATTATAGCCACGTTAGTAATTGCGCATGCGCCGTAGTCACCATTTGCCGGCGAGTAACGTGCAGCCAACGCCTTCTCTAATACATAGAGTAGGTCGTGGTGCAGCAAACAAGACTATCTCTATATTTGCCACAATAACCATATTAAACACGATTTCTATTTTCTGTTTTTTTTTTAAAACAACCTTCGATGGGGAAAGGGGGGGGGGGGGGGGCAATCAAGGACTATCTCGACGTCGGCGCAGACAGTGACTACGACATTAACTTCATTAACCGTGTTAGACATGTGCGATTTCTATTGTTGTGCCGTTTCATTAATATATCTAGAGTATCTGTCTACGAGAAAACAATTGCCTGTGGTTTTGAATTGTGTTTTAATCGGGACACAGTAGTAGGGACACATATCTCTAATAGTTAAGTTCTCTTTTCGTTAATCCAATTAAGTGGCTGCTTGGTCGAATGGTTAGAACACTGGGTTCCTGTGCGGGAGACCTGGGTTCGAATCCGCAGTAGTTAATTTTTTTTTTACCCCGGACTAAAATAATATCCTCATCTGCTCTGTCGTGGTGACAGCACTAGCCATGTTGCCTTAATATAAAAAAAAAAAAAAACTAAAAGACAAGTAAATGGGTAAACCATTTGATAATTAAATTTGACCATTTCACATACTTATGATTGCATTTTTAAACTTTCCGATTGCATGGTTACGCTGAAATTTCATAGATTTTAATTTATTTTCATTTAGATTTAGTTATTTCATCTGCGTTGGAATTTTAAGCTGTGCTGTTTATCATGGCGTTCATTTCCTAATTATGGTGTTTTGTTCCTGTGTTCATTTGCTTTTCAAGTATTTTTTTTTTTCTCCCAACTACTTCAATGAGGGAAAGAGTTGTCGGTGAATTTGGAGGGGGGGGGGGGGGGAACTATTAACTGAGAGAGCTTTAAGTCACAGTAACTGCTTTACCCACTTAAAGTAGCAGCAGCAGTAATAGTTGTGGTTGGGCTGTTACACCATAGTGCTCTCATGTGAAGACCGCCGGTAAGGTTATGGCGTTCTTCTGTCGGCAAGTGAAATTATACATCCTAACCTGACCAGTCTGTAGCGACAGCACTAGCCATGCGGAACCAAATCTTCTGGCTCACGACTCTCTGTCTACTCCGATGGTAACACAGATAGCAGTGACATTATTTTAGCTACTGTGGTGGTGGTCGTGGTAGTAGTTGTACTGGTACTTGAAGCATGATGTGGTAAATATTACACTAGCCCCATTCACTACCTATTACAATTCCTGCTCCCCATTTTAGTTCGGATGGACAGGGATGTCAGTGTCAGTTACAGCAACAACAAAATATCGCCAGGTAATGATTTTCAAATATTTCGAAGAGGGAGAGAGCAGTAGTCGGTGGAAGAGGGGAGGGGGCAATGACTTAAATTTAAGAGAATTTAAAGAGCTTTACACGTGATTTTCAAGTTCTCATTACCTAATTTGTTTATATTTTACTAATGCTTCCTCCGCTTTTCTATTTTTTACGACTTACTTTGTTATTTACAAGTACAGTTGTAGCTTTACTTCCGTCTCCTATAAAAATACAAACAGCTTTAGCATGTGATAACCAAATAACCATTTTTGTTACTGTGCTAATAACACCATTTAAACGACCACTAATATAAGGACACAATTATAAGGTGCGTGTTCTAAAGTTGGAAAACCAGACTATCTCTATATCTGTGCAGAGAATGATTGCGACATCAACTATATTAGACACGTGCGATTTCCATTGTCTTTCTTTTCCAAAAACCTTTGATGAGGGAGAGAGTAGTAGGTGGATTTAGTTGTGGTAGTGGGGGGGGGGGGGGGGGGGGGATCAAAGACTATCTCTATATCTGAGCAGACAATGATTGTATTAGACACGTGCGATTTCTGTTTTCTTTCATTTCCATTTAGTGAAACTATCCCACAGCAACGCGTGGCCAGGTACAGCTAGTTAAATATATAATAATATTCTGCTGGTTTGTAATTTTGAGTAGGGGGCTGCATTAGTGCAGTCAATAAGAGACTTTCTTTTTAATCCAGCTGCGACTAGCTGCAGCCTATGGCGGGTGTTTGAAACTGGGCAGTTCCTGTGGTTCACTCAGCCTCTAGGTAATGGGTACCGGAGTTAACACTCTGGGGTAAATGGAGGAACGTCACTATAGCTTCGGAGTTCTGTGCGGACGGCGACTCAGGCGGACAGTTTCTTATTAGTTGTCCATACTGGTGGCAGAGCACTTATGGTTTATCACTGTGTGCAATGGCGCTGGTTCACATCTCCTAACTTTACCTTTTACCTTTTTTTTTTTTTTTTGTAAATTATGCCTTTTATCCCACATTGAAGCATAGAACCGTTGTGTATCTCTTGTCTTCTTCTGACTGACTGACTGACATTCAACCCCACCAGGACATCACACCGAGTGACAAACACCCAGTGACACAAAGTGCCACTATTCAGATGAGGATCACCAGAGGACAGGTCCCAGAAACCCCACTTAAACCATTGGGTTGGGTTATATTAGGGCCCCCAGCACCAGCCAGGATGGGGCTTTGAAACAACAGAATTGCATCCGACATTGGGATGCAGTAGTGATGACTGTTTTCTTCTGCTGCAGTTTAACCTACACTGAATGGCCCATTCTATGCCTGTTAAAAGTTACGTATCCTTTACAGGACGTTGCACTACCAACCCCGGCATTTTTTGGCTGTTGTGATTTTTGCTAGGCAAATTTACATCCATTAGTTTGCCATTGCTTTCTGAACGGCTGGCTTCTCGATACCGCTGTAGAATCCGACGCAAGGTGCAAGGCCTGCAGCTGAGATCGAACCTGGCATTACGAAGCTCGTTTGCAACGCCTGAGCCACAGACGCCAACTCTTTTGAATGTATTTACCCTTTCAACTTGCAAACCATTTTGAGAACAAAGAGCCCAGAACCCTGGAATTCCTGCAAAAATATCTGGGGACAAATATGGCACACACAAGTCAAAAATACATTTTTGAAAAAAAAAAGGCAATTATGTATGTATATACATTTAAAAACAATGTATTGAACTACACGAAGGGAAACAATTAATGCACACAGCAGATAATTAAATGAGTAAATTCCCTTGGGCCTAAAATAAAAATTGATTTGATTACCCATACTGTATCACCAATTACTTAATTAAGCTAATACCTTCCCATATGGGTTTTGGAGCCCCATTATGGGGGTTAACAAGAATAGACCCACTGCCGCCCTAACAAGCATGTTGTAAGAGTCAACTAATTGGGGCGTTCCTTCAAAATCGCAGTGCATCTGCCTTTGAGGCAAGGAACAAACAGTCTAGATACAAATAAGCTAAATCTGTTTAAAAAAAAAAAGGGGGATGTGCACATAACACTCAGGTTCTGGAACAGGTCTAAAATGCAGAGGTGGTTGAAGAACCAGAGCTTTTCACTGGAGTTGACAGCTAGAGAATGTTAAGAAGAAAAAGATGAATACGTAAGGCTAAGAGAGAATTATGACACTGTGGCCAACACTCCCTCCTCTCCCACCCAAGTGTTATTTTTTTAGTAAATATAATTATATTGGGACCTTCTAAACACTGCACAGGTACATCAGAGCCGATGAGGTTAGATGACGTTAACTAGGCTTGTCTGGGACTGGTCAGATGCAGCAGTGCTGGTTAAGCAGCTTCTCTAGGGATTTGTAATGGATGGAAATGCCCGGTCCGTTGTGTCTCTGGATGAATGGGTTCACATAGACAGTTTCTTCTATGGAATGTTGTGAACTCTGAAGACTTTTCAAGACCTGGCTTATTCAGTACCCAGGAACTCACTATGTGCTTCTTGGTCACTCCATACATGACATGCTTGTCTCAGCTGCCAATATCTCATCAAACTGTTAATGAACACACCCACATGTATGCATGCACACATACACATGTATACATGCGCATGCATGCACACACATGCGTATGCACACACATACATACGTGTTCATACACACTGCTCTCTTCGTAAAAGTTAAAGCCCAGAGGATCAACTTTATTGTACAATGTTAACCATATATCTTGGTCCCTTTCTGCAGTATGTCTAGCCACCTACCAAGAGCATCACACAAAGCACAAACTCCATAGCTCATGCAACCATCCATAGAGATCTCTGTAAAAACTTCACTCATGAATTGAAATCCCAGGTCCCTAAGAGCGGGAGGCAAACAGCTTGACTGCTTTACTACATAGATCCCTAACCCATAATCTTTGTGTGAATTGCTGCTGTCATGTAGTGAGAACAGTTGATAATTGAAAGTAAGCCACAACAGGATCAAGTACATTGTATGGCGAAAAGGTTAACTCTTTTGGTACCAGGCAGGTACCACTTTAACCATTAATTCCTTAGTATTCGTTAATAATAAGTAATACATATATTTAAATCACTAGAGTTATATATAACACCACTTAGTGTCAAAAGGGAGTTAAAATGTCATCCTGGACATGGATTATCATTGAGGGTACATGGGGAGCAGTGTTGAGTAGAAAGCCATCACATGTAATTAGTAGTCAGTAAACACAGACAGTAGAAAAGTTGGATGGGAGAAGAGGCAGAGGAAGACCAAGATAATAGATGCTGGACAGTTTGACATCATGGCATTTAGGATCATCTGTGTCAGAGTTGATTGAAAGTACGCAAGACAGAAGAATGTGGAAGAACATGACTACCAACGCCACAAGGCATGGACTTAAAGAAGAAGAACACATTTTGAGTTTCTGTGTATTTTGATAAGTTTAAGGAGTCTGGTAAAGAAAATGTGTGAACATATTATATTAATAGGGGATAGTATTTCTATTCTTTGCTGCCTTATGGGCAACACACAGACATTCAGAATTTTTATTAGTGTTTCTCAGATATTAACAAGACAGTTGGATATCATTTTGTAAGGTCTGCGGGAGAGAAAGAAACCTCAAGAAGATGAAGACATAAACACAATACTACAGCATCACCACAAGATCCAGGAGAAGCTTGCAGAAGAGATGCTTATGCATGCTCAAGCTTTGAAGCAGAACATCACAGATGCTGGTCGGGTTGTGAGGCAGGACACCAAGGTAAGTGTGGGCAGTGTTGTAATAGTTGCTTGTTTGGTATGAGTGACAGGACACTAGGGTATGTGTGGATAACATTGTCACAGTTGTTTGAAATGAGTGGCAGGACACTAGGGTATGTGTGGATAACATTGTCACAGTTGTTTGATATGAGTGGCAGGACACTAGGGTATGTGTGGATAATGTTGTCACAATTGTTTGTTATGAGTGGCAGGACACTAGGGTATGTGTGGATAATGTTGTCACAATTGTTTGATATGAGTGGCAGGACACTAGGGTATGTGTGGATAACATTGTCACAGTTGTTTGATATGAGTGGCAGGACACTAGGGTATGTGTGGATAATGTTGTCACAATTGTTTGATATGCAGGACATGACACTAGGGTATGTGTGGATAACACTGTCACAGTTGTTTGATATGAGTGGCAGGACACTAGGGTATGTGTGGATAACATTGTCACAGTTGTTTGATATGAGTGGCAGGACACTAGGGTATGTGTGGATAATGTTGTCACAGTTGTTTGATATGCAGGGCATGACACTAGGGTGTGTGTGGATAACATTGTCACAGTTGTTTGATATGAGTGGCAGGACACTAGGGTATGTGTGGATAACGTTGTCACAGTTGTTTGATATGCAGGGCATGACACTAGGGTGTGTGTGGATAACATTGTCACAGTTGTTTGATATGAGTGGCAGGACACTAGGGTATGTGTGGATAACGTTGTCACAGTTGTTTGATATGCAGGGCATGACACTAGGGTGTGTGTGGATAACATTGTCACAGTTGTTTGATATGCAGGGCATGACACTAGGGTATGTGTGGATAATGTTGTCACAATTGTTCGATATGAGTGGCAGGACACTAGGGTATGTGTGGATAATGTTGTCACAATTGTTTGATATGAGTGGCAGGACACTAGGGTATGTGTGAATAATGTTGTCACAATTGTTTGATATGAGTGGCAGGACACTAGGGTGTGTGTGGATAACATTGTCACAGTTGTTTGATATGAGTGGCAGGACACTAGGGTATGTGTGGATAACATTGTCACAGTTGTTTGATATGAGTGGCAGGACACTAGGTTATGTGTGGATAACATTGTCACAGTTGTTTGATATGCAGGGCAGGACACTAGGGTATGTGTGGATAATGTCACAATTGTTTGTTATGAGTGGCAGGACACCAGGGTAGGTGTTAACTGTGTTATTACAGTTTATTTGTTTTATATTAGTGGCAGAACGCTGGGGTATTTGTGGACGACATTGTAACAGTTGTTTGGTATGAGAGGCAGGACACCAGGGTATTTGTGGATGACATTGTAACAGTTGTTTGGTATGAGAGGCAGGACACCAGGAAATGTGTGGATGACATTGTAACAGTTGTTTGGTATGAGAGGCAGGACACCAGGGTATGTGTGGATGACATTGTAACAGTTGTTTGGTATGAGAGGCAGGACACCAGGGTATGTGTGAATGACATTGTAACAGTTGTTTGGTATGAGAGGCAGGACACCAGGGTGTGTGTGAATGACATTGTAACAGTTGTTTGGTATGAGAGGCAGGACACCAGGATATGTGTGGATGACATTGTAACAGTTGTTTGGTATGAGAGGCAGGACACCAGGGTATGTGTGGATGACATTGTAACAGTTGTTTGGTATGAGAAGCAGGACACCAGGGTATGTGTGAATGACATTGTAACAGTTGTTTGGTATGAGAGGCAGGACACCAGGGTATGTGTGAATGACATTGTAACAGTTGTTTGGTATGAGAGGCAGGACACCAGGATATGTGTGGATGACATTGTAACAGTTGTTTGGTATGAGAGGCAGGACACCAGGATATGTGTGGATGACATAGTAACAGTTGTTTGGTGTGAGAGGCAGGACACCAGGATAGGTGTGGATGACATTGTAACAGTTGTTTGGTATGAGAGGCAGGACACCAGGGTATGTGTGAATGACATTGTAACAGTTGTTTGGTATGAGAGGCAGTACACCAGGATATGTGTGGATGACATTGTAACAGTTGTTTGGTATGAGAGGCAGGACACCAGGATATGTGTGGATGACATTGCCACAATTGTTTGGTGTGAGAGGCAGGACACCAGGACAGGTGTGGATGACATTGCCACAATTGTTTGGTGTGAGAGGCAGGACACCAGGGTATGTGTGAATGACATTGTAACAGTTGTTTGGTATGAGAGGCAGTACACCAGGATATGTGTGGATGACATTGTAACAGTTGTTTGGTATGAGAGGCAGGACACCAGGATATGTGTGGATGACATTGTAACAGTTGTTTGGTATGAGAGGCAGGACACCAGGATATGTGTGGATGACATTGTAACAGTTGTTTGGTATGAGAGGCAGGACACCAGGATATGTGTGGATGACATTGTAACAGTTGTTTGGTATGAGAGGCAGGACACCAGGATATGTGTGGATGACATTGTCACAGTTGTTTGGTATGAGACGCAGGACACCAGGGTATGTATGGATGACATTGTAACAGTTGTTTGGTATGAGAGGCAGGACACCAGGGTATGTATGGATGACATTGTAACAGTTGTTTGGTATGAGAGGCAAAACCAGGGTATGTATGGATGACATTGTAACAGTTGTTTGGTATGAGAGACAGGACACCAGGTTATATGTGGATAACATTGTCACAGTTGTTTGGTATGAGAGGCAGGACACCAGGGTATGTATGGATGACATTGTAACAGTTGTTTGGTATGAGAGGCAGGACACCAGGGTATGTGTGGATGACATTGCCACAATTGTTTGGTGTGAGAGGCAGGACATCAGGTAGGTATGAGCAGCATTGCAGTTGTTTATTTGGTATGTATGGCAGGACACTGAGGTAGGTATAGACAGTGTTAGACTTGTTTGTTTAGTATGAATGGCAGGTTGAGATAATAACGGCAGGATTAGCATATTTTCTTATGGAAGAAAACAATAATGCTTCTAGACATTAGGACTGTCACCTGGTTTACCAAGACCGAATGCATCAACTACAAGAATTTCACCTCTAACACCACAACATGGATGTCCCCATTTGTGTCTGTTAATTGTTACCTCCAATTTCAGAAACCAATAAAACAGAACCAAGGTGCTATTCTGATTTTCCCAAAGTGGGAAACATAAAAGCGTTCATTCGTTCATGCCAAGTGATATTTATCTGATATCAGGGTGTCATAAACACTTATGTGTAAAACCTAACTGCAGGATTTGACTAGTCATCATATTTGAAGAGTGAGTAATCCTAAGTACTTCACCTCACACTCACACACACAGGACAACAACTTACAGTTTTTGGTAGCCTTAGGTCACAAATAACAGAGACACTAACATTTTCTTTATATGTAGCAAACATAAAAGTCTGTTCCAGATATCTCTTCCTGCTCTGACGCCGTGAGTCTTTAGTGAGGCATTCCAGGAATAGCAACAAGAAGGAGGAGGTCAATGTCTGTGGCTTAGGTATTGCAAATGGAGTTTGTAATTCCAAGATACCCGGTATGATTACGGCTCAGGTGTTTTGCCAGAAGACCACTTTATGTTGATTTTGACAATAGTATCGTGAGCTGACCATTCTGGGACCCTAAAAATTACCTAGTAAAATCACCATGTTAAACTCGAGACACCCCCCAAAAGCGCTCTGTCCCCATCTTCAGCAGCAAGCGAAGAGTTGAAATTCTGATGGTACCAGTAACTGTCTCGCCTTTCCCCTGAGTGTTGAGTGTCCGCCGGATTCCCTTGTAACTCCTCACAGTGCCATTCTCCTCAGACCATAATGATCTGTCTGTGCCTCTGCACTGTTCACTCGCTCCCAAAGAGCCCTCACAATGTCTAGCTTGCCATACATCAGTTCACCACCAAGTGGTGCAGAACCAGCCAGTCTATCTGCCTGCTCATTTCCCAATACACCAGCATAACCTGGAGAAAATATTCATTGGGTGCTAACTACCCGGAACCTTTGAAGTGATGCTTGCCACTCTGCACGGAGCATGCTTGTCTCCACCTTTCTCAATATGCTCTGTGAGTCAGTAAACAAAGGACACATTAACTGTTTTTAGGGTGCCCCAATATAACTCTTTTATATAGCTGAATGGGGTTGTCTCAGATTATATCAATTGTATTGGCATATGAGAAGTGGCTGCTTGATTTTTGGGGTTACCCACTGCCTACCTAAGAAGCATGTCGTAAGAGTCGACTAATTAGGGATTTCCCTCAAAGTCAGTGTGTATCTGCCTGAGAAACAAGGAACCAGCAGTCTGCATTACAGATATGCCAGATATGTAAACCATATGTGCTCAGGGTGTGGTGCAAGACCAAAATTCTGAAGTGAACAGACAACCAGAACTTCCCACTGGAGTTTATAGCCAGTGAGTACAGCACCTGAAGAAGAGGAAGACCACTGAGTTTGAAACCTTCACACAGTCCTTGAGGTGGGGTGGGGAAGGTGGGGGGAGGGGGTACAGATAAAAAAGAACAATTTTTAACGCAGCAAACCATGAAATCGACTACATGTTGGGGAGGAGGGGGTACATATGACAAAGTATGTGCTGGTAGGAGAAGAGAACAGAAAACGGTTCCATTAAAACATCTGTGCTAACAGTGCTGATTTTAACAGTAAATTGGTCTAAACATTGGATTTCTTGCATCTTTTCAGAAAATCATAGACAGCCAACGTTTGGCCGATATTAACATGAGCAAACTGAAGGTGGAGAGCGAGCGACTTGAAGCCCACACAAAGACATGCTCATGGTGGATCTGGGTTATGCTGGTTGTGGTCATCATGACTTTTATTTCTATGGTCTTGTTTATGAGGATATTTTCTAAATAAATTGCTTTAAACATGGGTGGTATAACACTTAATTGGTTTCATGTGTCTCTTTTTTGTGTGTGTCTGGTAAATAATGAACTTAATTTTTTACTTGATTTCCTTTTCTCTCATATATACTGTACCGGGAAGGCTAACCTGCTCATCAAATGCCTTCAGAAGTTGAATTTGTCGCCCGGAAGGGGCAAACATCACAGCCATGTTGTAAATGGGCACAATGTATTTACATCTTCGGATGAATGCAGAAGAAGAAACAGATTTGACTCTTACTTTGTCTGATTGTAATAATAAGCTGTATACTTTATTGATTTTATTTGATGGTAATAATGAGCTGTAAACTTTATTGATTTTATTTGATTGTAAAAATTAAGTATATACTTTTTTGATTTTATTTGATTGTAATAATGATCTGTATTCTTTATTGATTTTTGTTTTTATCTTTTTTATTTTTATTTTTTATTTATTGCCAGAATAGGGTCATTGTGGTCTTCTTCTTCTTCTTTGTTTGCACTTAAAGGGCAAATGGCATAGTATGTTGTGGTTTACAGCTAGGCTTTGATATCTGCATCTTCAAGCCGATCATCATCATCATCATCAGAAACCTTGATGAGTGGTGTGGGCTATCATGCCTCTTCACAATCTGTGATCTACAACAGCCTTTATCAGTTTTTTGTGTTAACACCCCTCCATGCCGTGACAAAAGGTGTCAACTATCTTCTTCCGCTGTCTTCCTCTGTCTCTCTTTCCACAGATCTTTCTGGTGGTCTCAGCATTTTCCATTTTCCTTCTTCTCATAACATGACCAAATAGTTATGACTGTCTCTTTCTGATGTTTGTGATAAGTTGTCTTCGGGTCTTCACCTCTTTGAAAACATGTGGGTTGCTCTTTTTTGAATGTCCAAGGAATTCTATTCTTGTAAAACCACATCTCCCAGGCCTCATGAAATAGTTTGGCTTGTTTATTAATTGTCCAGGATTCAGAGCCGTATGTTAAAACTGGCTCTGTATAGCAAGCAATAATTCTTTTCCTAGACTCCATTGACGTGGATAAAATGTCTAAAATTGCTTACAATTTCCTAATTTTATAGAATTCAGTTTTGTCCTGCCCTATTTTATTCTTTGTCTATATGGTACGTCTTCCATCGGACGTTATCCATGGGCCTAGATACTTTAATTTCTGTACTTGTCCTAAAAAACGCCTTTGACTTTCATTATACATTTAGACATTATTCTTGTCTTGGATTTACTTCTATCTTCCTATTATTCAAGCTGAGGTTCATTTTATCACTTTCTACCACCACTGTTATTCCTGTAGTACTATCTGACTTATCACTATCAAGCCCAACCCATATGATTTCAACAACAGTCACCTGTTGTGAAATGATTGTTAAGAGGCAGTGGGTCTTCACCCAACCCCCACCCCCACTCCCGCTTTTAAAGTTCCTGGGAGCACCCGCAGGGTGTTACTTTGTGACTGGATTATTGTTCTGTTGTATATGCAAATTAGTGTTGTATAAAAGCACCCCACATTTTGGAGAGAAACTTTGTGAATACCTTTGTTCTTTATGTACCTGGTCCTATAAAGTCGGTAGCAAGTGTTCCAAATTGTGGTCGATACACACAGATGATGGTTCAGAGATTTATAGCAAGATAAACACTTCCTCATTGCATTACAGTAAGAAATTTATTGAAAAAGTTGTTGTAATTAATATTTCCAGCTTTCTCAAAACAGCATTAGACCATAGCAGTGACTGTTGTAACTAATTTAATGCTGTTTTTAGCAAATTTATTTATGAGGTCATGTTTTTGATTTTTTTTTTTTTTTTCAAATGTGTTCTGCAAATTATTGTATAAAAACACCCTTATTTAGGTCTTATTTCAAATTCTACAGTATAAAAAAAAGATAAAGGTTACCTCTTTTTTTTTTTATGTACAAATAGTGTTCAGTGGCATTTGTATGAAGGTGTCTGTGTGCTGTTGTCCAAAAAAAGAGAGATACAAATCAATCTAAACTGTCCTCAGCTATTGATATATGTACATTAGTTAGACTGTGCATTGGCATTTTTATAAAGGTGTTTGTGTCTGTAGTCCATAAAAAATAAGATAAAGGTCAATCTAAACTGTCCTCACTATTCTATATGTACATTAGTTACTGTGCAGTGGCATTGTATGAGGTGTCTGTTCTGTTGTACAAGATAGATACTGCATCTCAGTCAGCTATTGATATATGTACATTAGTTAGAATTGGTGTTATGTGCTGCTGTGTCCAAAAAAAGATAGATACAAATCAATCTAAACTGTCCTCAGCTATTGATATATGTACATTAGTTAGACTGTGCATTGGCATTGTTATGAAGGTGTCTGTGTGCTGTTGTCCAAAAAAAGAGAGATACAAATCAATCTCAACTGTCCTCAGCTATTGATATATGTACATTAGACTGTGCAGTGGCATTTGTATGAAGGTGTCTGTGTGCTGTTGTCCAAACAGATAGAAACAAATACAGTTAAACTTTCCGCAGCTGCTGATTTGTTAAATCTCCCTGTGTGGGTTCCAGAGACCCCATGTTGGGGAATACAAGAATACACCTAATATCCCCCCAAAAAGAATTCTGTACAATTCATCTAATCAGGGGTGTTTCCTTCAAAGTGTGAGTGCATCTGCCTGAGAGGCAATGAAACAAGAGTTGCAGATAAATAAGACACAATTGGAACATTGGTATGCTTGCAAAACTCAAGTTGTAAAACAAGACCAAAGTCCAGAAGTGGACGAACAACCATAACATTTCCACCGGAGTTCACTGCTGATGAACGCTAAGAAGAAGATTTATATACTCTAGGCCAAGGGCCCCAGAACAAGTGGTTTAGGCACCTTAAATGGATACATGTGATGTCATGTGCTTTACATCCTTAACAACAATTTTTACAGGTTACACGACAGTAGCATAGTTATTGTAATTTCTATCATAGATTTGAGGCTTTCATTTGAAAACTTTTGCCTAAAATATGTATTTACCACTCAGCATGTTGTTGTTGTTTTTAAGGGAGCTAAGGTGGTTTAACTGCTAAATGCTTTGCCTGCAGGCTTGATTTTTTTTCCTCTTAAAAATCACCTTGGCTTCCTGGTCAACCCAGTCTAAAATTGATAACACGTGAAGTCCTGGAAAGTGAAGGCCGCCGCATGATAAGTGACTCCTTAAATGTGAAAGTACATGATGTGGGAGAGCTGACGAGAGACATAGTCTCTTGCAGGCAGGTTGTGATTGGAGCCGTGTTCTGCAAAGGACATACTACATGATGAGGATTATTTTTCGAAACTTAAAGTGGTTAAAAAGGATGGATTTTTCAACACACTCGAACTTTTCACCAAAGTCTTGTTTGTTATTTATATTAGTTGATAAAGACTTTAGTTGAAACCTTCACCTATAGTTATTCCCGTCTTTTTCTTTCCCTTCTTAGAGCAGTCTGTGTTTTCATTCGATTACTTCCCTTCATATAACATCGACCGTTTAATTAAAAACAAAATACCGCTCAGTATATTTATTACATGATAAATGATTCTTATCATCACCAGTATCCTCTTGCAGCGTCTCAAATTGGCTCGCAGTTTATTCTTCCATTCCATTCTGTCATTATGCTGTTGTTTCAGTATTTAGGACAGCACCTTTTGCCTCTTTCATAAATCTTTTACCCCCAAATGCCCAACCTCGCCGCCCGACTACCCGACGGATATTACGTCGGTAATCAAGACTGAACCGGGAGATTTTTTGAAATGGCTTTGCCGTCTGGGTTTCACCCGTGACTTGTTGTGACCGATCCCGGTCCTCTTGGCCAAACCCAGTGCAGCAAGGCTACACTTTGATCTTAGCCAAAAGGCCGAGAAGCGATCTTACCTCTTTCATCTATGTTCATCCAAGTTTTTTTTTTTTTTTTTGATGCGTTTGACGTCCTCGTTTCCTCATTCGATCGATGGATCGATCGGTTTGTTCCATCCGGGATGCTTCCTGTGGGTTTGACCATACAACCATGAGATTTAGAAAATCTTATTCTGAACGAAGACCAACAAAGCAGATCCCAGAAACCATGTTCAGTCTTCAAACATGTTGTATTTAGGCCATCCGTAACAGATACAACATCAAGGTGTAACCTTCAATTATGTTCAGGTAAGGACGTTGGGGTGGTTGTGAAACCTTGTTTTCCTTGATCAGTTTGTTTCCCGTGGTATCATTGGAATTCTGCGCTTGCTGCTAAAGATGTGGATGGAGCACTTATGGGCAAGTCCTAGGGGCTGCAATGTCGGTTCGTAAACCACAACTCATTTGTTTCCCATTTAATGCTTGTATGGTGTTTTACAGTATAACCCTATGCACTTTATATTAAGGAATTCCATGGAAATTTGACTAAAAAGCTTAACAGAATGGGGAAGCAGAAAAACTTGCACAAAACAACACAAATAACGCGTGAAAGGCTGCCCAGCCGAAACGTTACGTTTTTTTTTTTGTGTGTGTGCACGTTTTTCTGCTTCCCCATTTGGTTAAGCTTTTTTTGGAACAGAGGAGGTACATAATAAACCAGGACAGCGAAATAATAACTGATGAAAATAATAACTGAAAGCATGTCGTAAGAGTCGACTAATTGGGAGCTTCCTCCAGAGTTGGAATGCATCTGCCTGAGAGGCAGTGAACCAGCAGTCTGCATGAAATTAAGCAAGATCGGCACAACGGATGCACACGCAAAACTCGGGCCCTGGAATAAAGTCCAGAAATGGACAAACAACCATGGCTTTCCGCTGGGGTTAATAGCCTGTGAATATAAACAACAACACTATTGTATATTCCGGCATGATGTTAACCAGACCTATAAAAGTTAAGTCTGGCATATCATATGCCCGCTGTGCCATTGGTGTAAACAGGTTCTTTGTGTGTAATTTTAGTAAGCAACTATCAGTCTCTGGGGACCATGGAGTTGTGCCCCGCTGGTGTTGGGAACAGCGTCTGCTATGACTG